TCAGAATTTCAATCTGTCAGAAACTGTGTATTCCATAGTGCATGGTTTTTAATTGATTGAAATTCTTATTCTTGCTCTATTCCCTGTTTGTGTGGAGCACGCGTAAAAAAAGACGCTTTTTTTCTTGTCAAATCTTTATTTTTATGCGAAAACGTATCGATTGAATGTATTTTTATCAAAATTTGAAACAGGTATTCTTAACATTTATCTATCCAATTTAGTTTTTTTTTCATTTGGACTTTCAAAATATTCTTGTCGTTAATTGACATGGTTATATTAATTAGCACGCAAAAATACAATAAGAAAAAATAATTTGAATCAAATCGGCGGTACTTTTTTGGTACTTTATTCTAAAAGTTTTTCACTTTATTATAAAAGAAAATTTACGATGCAGGAAGAATCGTGTTTTGATTTTGAAAGGTAAGTTGTAAATTTGAACATTAGTTTAGTAATTATCATTGTTCAGATACACGGAAATAATAGAATAAAGAGTATTATCTTTTGGCAAGGAAATCTATTTACAATTAACGCATAATATTGGACGATTAAAAATCTTATGAACAATACAAATGATAAATTTTATAACACAGTTGGAAACATAATATTACTACTTGCTAGGTACACATATTTTAGCCACATTATTGTCCTTGCAGAACCATGACTTATTATTGGTCATCTGAATGAAATTATATGTATATCTCATCATCACTAGTTTCCATCTTCGTCTGTACGTACATTTGTTCTGCGATGTAATACAATATACAATATTAATAATAATGCAAGTACATTAATGATAGTAAAGTGATTTAGTAACAATTGATAGATTTTCATGTAGTTCGTATATAACAGAATTTGGTGAAAGAATACATACTAAGTGAAAAATGGAGCTGATTGACAATATTGTATCCATTAATAGATGAATCGTTTCGGAAAAATAGTAAAAATTAATGATAACAGTCAGATTCTAAGTGGATTCTAATCTTTTCTTCTTTCAGCGCCAGTGAGAGATGCACCAGATAAGATCTATCCACTATACTAGTCCACTATACTAAGAGCCGAAAAATGGCTGGTAGGCAGCAAATGAGAACCATTTGTTAGCACCGATTTGCTCTGATATTACTACTGCGTCTAGACACTCAATGTTCAGATCCGCCACGATTCTCTTTTACTATACTTACTCGGTATGATATGTTTTCTTAAAGTCTTCGCTTTTATGCTTTTACTATTTTTTTTTGCATTTATACGAGAAATATCTTAAAAATATTTATGTACTATATATTAGGTTCGAGAAAAAGTCCTTTTACAACTTGATAAAAAGACTTTTTTAAAATAACTCATATATTTTATTTTTTTTTAATTAACAATTATACCACTTGATAGAGCAACGTTTCAGCTTTAAGAATCTGTATTTTTAATTGTGATACAATGATTTTTGATGGAGTTACGAGCAATAAAGTCAGAGTGTTTCTTTTTATTTAATCCGCGAATAACTCAGGAAAAAAATGGTAGAAACATTTTTAAAAACGATTTTGTGTGTAGAGAAACTACAAGTTTTCACGATAAATAGTTGAAAATTGCATAAATTTTTTTTAGGCACGCGAGAAACCTACAAAGTGAAAAGAAAATTTTTTATTTTTTCAGCTCGTGACTTTCTATATGTAAAAATTACAAAACTCATATAAATTCAAAAAATATAGTAACCGTTTTAGAGATTTTAAGCTTTAAAATCCTTTTTTTTTTTAACTTAAATTTTGATTATTTTTAACGAAGACATTTATGGGGAAAGGTCTTTTTACCAACTTGTAAAGGAACTTTTTCTAACCCAATTATTAGAAAAAAAAATCGGTAATTAAAAACGTATACAACTGGTTTTTATTATTTTTTAATTTATATAAACGATTTGAAAATTTTGATTGACTACAGATCTGTGAAAAGATTGCTTAAAAATTAGAAACTTTGTCAGGTTATAAGGGACAAACATTTCCGATGTATTTTTTTCGTGGAGAAAAAAATATCGAATTTATTTTTCTGAAATAAAATTATCAATACGAATAAACATTCAAAACAATCGATTTATACGTTTCTGTTCGCTCTTTTACTCCGATTTAATAATTAAAATTTAAGACACTATAAAGTATAGTAATTTAAATTTGAAACACTATATAAAGCATAGTATATTATGTTTACCGCCTTGCCATGATTTTATTCCCGTGCTCGGAAATACATAATTAAAATGCGCGAGGAGAGTCTCGTAAATAACCATGTTAATTATTGCTAGTCTCGCCAAGTCTTTCCTGTCTTTTTGTTTGTCTATGCACCTTCTTTCCACTTATCCTTTCGTTTTTCTTTTCTTTACTTATAATGTAATACTTTTTTTTTCTTATTTGTTTGCAAGTATAGTTACAGAAATTTTTGTAACTCACATATACACTCTTAAGCTTGTATCACCAAAAATTGGAGGTAGACGTTAAAGTAAAAATTTTATGTAAATTACAACGGGACGTAAGTAAATATCAAACATAAAAGGGAATAGTATCTTGAAATCAGAAGTTCTTCATTGTGAGGAGAAAAAAATTACATCTTCCATCCGATCCATAGACTTCTAATATTGGTTTTATCTATATGATCATATATCGGAATTGTTCAGACAACGTTCCAAAAAAGAACATAAAACGTCTTGAGTACGCATTGCATAAAGTCTGGAAGTTATCTTGATGACATCTTCAGGACGCATTTTGTCTCATGTTCGCATAGACATAGAGTAACTCCGATATATATAGGTATATATTGCACCTAACATAAACTTAATTTATCAAGTATTAACGTTATGTTTAAGATAAATGAACTATACAGTAAAAACTTTGTACTGTCTACTACTATGGAAAAAAATATAAAAATATTTGAAATCTTGTATTTTTGCCGTATATATCCCATAGGAATAAGATATACAGCTAGATGGAATGTAAACGGCTCACGAAAAATTTACAAATAATTCTTAGAAATAAGACGTAAAATGACACAATAACTTATAAAATATATTTACAAAATTTTAAGGGATAGTAATGACAAATGCAATTTATACATATATGAATTAGTATAACCTAGATAATAATTATAATCTTTTGTATATATCTTTTGTGATATGAGATATACATATTTCATGTAATGTATTTATTATATTTAATGCACTCTAGATCCAGTGTCTGCGCACTTTGTGCACTTTAAGCTTTAGGCATAAATCCCGCTTAAAATGCCGCATCTACATCTCAAACAGGTACACTAAGAGAAAAGTATATCGTATTTGTGACTATAATTGCATGGGGTAAAATAATTATGGTTAGAAACATCATTTTTATAGTTATTATTGCTATAATATTAGTAACAATAATATGTATAATTCTATCAACCCGTACAAAAATTGTACTATAAATTGTGATAATTTCAAATATTAATATAGTAAAATATATGAAAATATGTATGAAATAAAATAACCATTTTTATGTGGTAATTGCAATCATAATTATAATAAATATAACTATTTTTTTTCAACATTCGCTTACTATTTACATGCGCTAACAATATATAACTAAAAAAATATATTTAAAAAAATGGAAAAATCTGCAGTTATTTTCAAATAGTGTGTAACTATATTAATAGCACATTTGACTGTACTTTTACTACAAATTTAATTAATCAAATTTACTATACATATTATAAAAATTAAAACAAAATAATTGTAAAAGTAATTATTTGCACTAAATGTTTGGCAATACTATATACAAACAGATTTGGTTGAATTAACTGAAATTATGGAAAAAACAGATTTGATTGAATTAACTGAAATTATGGTTGAAAATGAACGATCCAGAATTCTTAGTTAAGAACTCTAGTTAAGTTTACTAGATTTCTGATTAAATCTATCAGAATTCTAGTTCATTCTAGTCTCATTTTTTTTGTCCTTTCGTCCTACCGCGCTGCAATTCAACATTTTATAAGTTCCAAAAAATCGCGTACGACCCAAGAAAAAAATAGTATAGTATTTATTGAATCCGAACGGGATCAGCAAATGGACACTATTAATTTCAGATATACATGTATGTACCAAATAATACATAAAATTGACTTTTATGTATTATCATGGGAGATGAGAAATCGATTGAGGATTTGAATTAACGATGTTTTTGAAGCGTAACATAATACCTATTTAAACGTAAAATAATATTTGAGTTCCTTTCGAATGTTTCATATTGAATTATCATTCTATCATTATCTATATATAAATATGGTAAATCAAAAACTACATAAGGGAAAACATTCTTTTAGTAAGTATATGTTCGTTAAATGATGAATGTGTGGAGATTGTCAAATGACTATTGTTCGAGCAAAAAGAATCACAATTATTTTTATTCATATAAAAAAAAAACAACTAAGTATTATAGATACATAAATATTGAATTTAATTCTCAGTCGACAATGTGAAATTTTTGCCCTTCGCAACTTGGATCTTCAAGATGCAGTGCAGATTTTCATATTGTTCCGGACTGTATAAAAATCTAAAAAATTGTTACATATCTGTGAAAACTTTAACAAAGAGTTTTTATCACACATAGAAATTAGATTATATTTTAATTATTTTTCAGATTTAATTTATTTATCAAAATTTACAATTAAAAAATCGACTGTGTCTTTAAAATCTAACATTGCCAGTGCAAGCTTAAGTATAAATTTCAGTAATAAATATTTTTCGCGGTAGAAATTTCAAATCAAGTTAATTATCAGTAATACTACATAATATTCAACAAATATGTATATGAAAAATGAGATAGAAAATCTTCTCTTAACTTCTCTTGATGTAGATTTAAATGTGATTTACCCTACATGCATCAATTGCACTGCATTTTGCATTTTGTTACAAAATTATTTTTCTTAATCCCAAATTATTAAATTTGTTTTGAAAAGTTTTTGATATTTCTCATTCGGGATAGTAAACAAATAATAATAAATTTTCCTTTTTTAATTTGAAAACAAAATTTGATCTCTTTCATAATATGCGACTAGATAACTTTATTGAACTAGTTTATTGCTGTAAATTAATTTATTTGTTAAAAAGTTAATCCAATATTTCTTTATAACGTTTTTGTGCTTTTCGCCAAACTGCCTGTTTCTTCTCCATATTGGAATCTAACTCGACGTCCGTCCTCTTTGATCCAAGACCAACTTTGTTGTGATTGCAGGTGATAAGTAACTATAACAGAAATAGCAATTTTTTTTATTACAACATATGTGATTTTCCAAATATTAAATAAAATATGTGAAATTGTATAGCTTGAATAGTTTTCGTGAATTCTTAAAGATGTAATTGCCAATATAAAAATCATATTTTAAGTCCATCATAGTTTTATAGAAAATCTGTGATAAACTATATATGTGTGTTGTGAATTTATATAATATATGTATAATTCTTTAGCTGTATTTGGGCCAATTTTTCTAAATAAGATAATGATTGTAGAGCACATAAAATATAACCATTATACTCGATCGATCTTACGAGTTGCCTAGAAACGAAAAAGTTCATATCTGGTTTTTTCCTCATTAATGATAGCATATAATGATGTATCTGTTAAACTGTTTAGATAATACATAACACGCATGCACGTATTACAGTTCACTCTTCATTTTTCTTTTTCTTTTTTGTTTCGCTTTGTCTCAGGCTGTGTTCCAAAATTTATTACCAGCCCTGGAAATGTATAGTTTATGTTACGTATACTATAAATTTTCAACACTGGTATAGTGATTTCTAGGACACAGCTTCAAACGAAAGAAGAGAATTTGTAGAGATTTGTGTTTAGCTCAGTGAGTAATCGTTAATTAGCAAATATGTATCCATTTATTTTAATTTTCTAATTTTTTGAACACTAATCAGCTACCAACAACTCATCGCAAACATAGACACAGATAAAATCGACACTTTGTTTTCGATTATCAATTTTCGAGTAAGGATGTTCTTAAATACTTATATCGCGTTTGAATTAAAACTATTTCGAAACTTATAAACAAGACAATTATTGATCTTGATAATGATCGTTATTTGGAATGAGTGAGAGAGAGAGAGAGAGAGAGAGAGAGAGAGAGAGAGAGAGAGAGAGAGAAAGTGGAGAAGCTCTATAGTAAACTATACCGAAGAAGCGAACAGTATAAAATATTCATTAAACAATGTCTCGTCGGATACCATCTTTGAATCATTAAATTATTTTGTCCAATCGCAGCACTACGGGTATGATCCAGATTTCATAGATTCATTAGAAAAGGGAAGTTAAAATAGTTTAGCAATAATAGCCAGTGATACTGCAGATCCATGACTCAGAATTCTGATCCACAGACTCTAGTTACATACTCACAACAAAATCAAGATAAAAATAAAATTATTTATTAAATTGAGAGAATATACTTTTTTATTTTCCTTTCTTTTATGAGTGTGATTTATTGAGTGTTGCATGAATTAACAGAACAATTTTTACAAATAGACTTCAAGAAATGATGCACATAAAATTAGAATTTTGAATTTAGCAAAAAATTACGAATTTCTCAATTGGATGATGTAGATGCTATGTCGCTATTATATGAATGGATACAATCTTATTTAGCGCGAAGAGAAGTTAAAAATAGAAAATAAGCAAATGATCTACATCAATCGACTGAATATAATTAAGCGAAGGCAATATGTCGTGATTATCAATTAGTGTAGATAATATATCTTTTCACTCTTCTCTCTCTTTCTTAATTCATCGTTCAAGTCCAGACATATATGTTCAATATACAAAAACATGAAACTTAAATTTTGATTGCATGGTCAAACAATCGATACATTAGGACAATGTGTTGAGTTTGTGAGAAAATGTATGTGAATGTTACAGCACATACAAAATACTGTAAACATTTGTTAGAGGCTTTCGTATACGATAAGATTTTATGTTTAAAGAAAGAATACAATATAATTATGCGATTAATGTAATACTACTATACTTGACATTTAGTAGAGAGACTTTTGATTACGCTTAATAGAAAGGAAGGAAATTCCTAGGTCGAGAACCCAGACACCACTGTAGTCGATTGTGCGAACAAAACAGTACCGACGTACAATAACATATTAGGAATTCGCGGGTTCTCTGAGACACAGTGGTAGGGTGCCAGACGGTCTGTGCCAGTTCGAAAGTTTGTCCCGGTTTACCCGTCTGCCATACCGGGAAGCGATGTGGATGCACGTGCGCTGCACCTTGACAGCTTGAATATGGGTTCCAGCATCCGTGCTGGACAGCGCATATTGGATTCGAAACTTTGCTCGTTTACAACGCTGTATGTCTGGCACTGTCGACCATCGACCATCGACCGTCGGTCGACCGCCGA